TGGTGCTGAATACAGTCACAGATAACACTGTGGGCACAGGGAGTTTGGGGAATTTTCATCTGGGAACCCTGATCTTTGCAGTGAGGTAGGAGCAGTGTGATGTGGGAGTGACCATGTTGGGCTGGGGTTTGAAGAGAGTGGTGAAGATGTTAAAAGACCTGGGAGGGGGAGTTGAGCAAGGAAAAGGGTTTCAAGCACCACACTGAGATCAAAGACCACGGATAGGTGAGAGCCTTGAAGTGCCCAGACATGCGGCTTCCTCCAGCTGGGTTCTTGGCCAACATGGGACCATGAGAGGAGGGAAGTGACCTAAACTGAGGGATTCACAGGGTGTGAGTGATGTTGGCAACACTGTCAAGAGGGAGGTTTGGGTAGAATTGTAAGGAAACAAACCCACGAAGGACCTTGAGCGTGAGGAAAGGGGCTAGGTGAAGGAACTGGAGGCTTAAGAATAGTGTGTTGGTACCTGGATGTAAGAAAATGAGTCAGGTTGGGTGGGGTTGAGGTTACGAATGAGAGCAGTCTCAGATCATGGCAGGATGCAGGCGAGGTCTTGCCAGGTGGCGGTGGCTGAGGGATATCAGTAAAGCACAGAGCGCCAGCTACTTTGGGAAAAAGTAGGTCATTACTGCTCAGGTCGCAGTAATGGTTTGACAGTCCAGGCAAGGCACCCAGGGGGCCCCAGGATTTGCAGTCAGGAGCCGCCTATTCAGACCAATGTGCAAGCTAACTGGCCTCACCTGATTCTCAGATCTGTCAGAGGCCATATCAAGAGCACCAACCTCGTGGGATTATTGTGAAAATTGAATGAGATCATATACTATATGGGGTGCTGAGCACAAGGCCTGGCACATAATAAGTACCATAACAAATATCAATAAATAACAGCTGTAGCCCTTTCTGGGTGGCTCAATTTGGTATATGGAGCATTGTTCCATATACCAAAAGGTTACGGGTTTGACTCCTGGTCAGGACAAATACCTGCATTGTATGTGAAAGGGAGGCAACAGGTCAATGTTTCTTCTCTCCCACGTTGATATTTTTTCTCTCTCTTTCCCTCAAAATAATAATAATAATAATAATAATAATAATAATACAGCTACAATAAAACTGCTAGGTTTCCACTAAGAATTCTCGATGTAGGACAGATAACACTAACATAGAAATGCATAAGAGGACATGTAGGTGTGGCCTTCTTTGCGGAAACAGCATAGATTTTTGGAATCACACATTTGCGTTTGCAATCCACCCCGTGGCTTACTAGCAACTCGACTGGACACAGGCCATTTAATCTGTCTGAGGTTCATCATGATGCTGTGTTGTTACTACCTTCATTCCCCCAAATGGATGAAGTGCCCGCCTACTAAGTACCAAGCATTGTAGCAGGTGTTGGAGATAAGGGGACTTGAAAAAAGACACTCTCCTTGTGCTCACAGTGTACCTGGGAGGCAAGCAGAGACCATTCTATTTGGGAAAACGAAGAGCTCTGCCAAAGCGAACCCTGAGGGAAGCTGGTCAACACTGGTTCATGCCGGAGAGGTCTTTGGTCTTGATGAAGTGATTGGCTCATTCCCTCCTTTATAGAAGGGGAAAACATAAAACCTAATACATAGCTCCCACTTTTTAAAAATAATGGGGGTTTAGAAACTATTTGGGAAAGATGAATGGAGAAAAGTAGGTCTTTTTGAATGTCTGGGCTCTGTGTGGACACTGCCCACTGGGAAAGGTTGTGGAGTTGAGGTCAGATCACCGGAGTGCTGCAGTGACAATTCGGTAAGTGGCTCAGGTCTTCAGTTCCCCCATCTGCAATTTCTGAATAATAACAGGAACCACTTCGTAGAGTTAGTGTGAGGACTGAGTGAGTCAATTCGCGTACAGTGCTCAGGACAGGGTCTGGCTCACAGTGAGCGCTCAGCATACATGTGTATTAGCTATCACGATTCTGTCAAGGACGATCTTACGAAAAGAGGGCAAGTGTTTTCCTCAGCCTGTGCAGGGAGCATCAGAAACTGTGAAGGGTGGATCAAAGCAACAAAAAGTAAACTAGAAATCATTTTTAGAATAAGTAGATTTGCAAAATGTCAGGACCAAAAAAGAAACAAGAAACTTCTTGTCGACACAGCTGAAATTCAACATTATACAGACCTACAATATCCTGAAAGTCTTGAATGTAGTATCTACACCATAAATATTGCACTGATATCTTAAGTATTTGCTTTACCTAAGATCTAAGGGAGTGACTTATTTAATAGTTTTCTCTTCTTTTTCTCAGTTGAAAAGAGAGAAACCAAGACTTTCCCTTTCACCTGATGGAGTCTGAGTCACACCCCCAGACTGGGGGGTTGGGCAGCTTTCCAGTCACCTGCTGTGAAAGCCCCTGAGCTCCTGGGTGCAGGTTGTCACTGGCATCTCAGTCCTTTCCCAGGATTCCATCAGAATCTTGTCTCCTCACCTTTATTGCAGAAGTCAAAAGAGAGAGACTAGTGTGACCAGAAGTCCAAAGGGAGAATAGCCCACAGGGGTTTTTCCTCTACAGTCCCTTAACAGTTTCTTCCAATCAGATGTTTCCAGGGCTATTGAACTGGTTTTGGAACTTTAGAGAAAATCCTCACCTCTTCCCTATGATATGCCCCCTCCTTCAACTCCTTAGGGGCTTTCTCCTCTCTGAAATTTGATCTTAAATTTAAACACAGTGTTCCCATAGAAACTGTGTAGCTTCCCTTTTTCTGCCTGCCTTACTTCTGTTTAAAAGCTAGATTCAAGCTATCATCAGAAAATGGAGAGAGAGGCAGGGAGGGATGGAGAGAGAGAGACAGAGTGAATGAATATGGATGCCCAGGACCCACAGCATCAATTATTGTGTGCATTAGTTTTTAAAGACTTTACTTGGTAAAATTAAATAGCAGTTCTTAGTTGGTTCTCCTTATTTTATTTGTTTACTTTATTGGGCTGTGGAAAATCACAAGACTTAATGTGCTAACACTGCTTCTTCTCTAGCTGAGAAGGCCCTCCTAAAACCTCAGAGGAAGTGCCTCTAAGAAAGAAATCCCCTTCTTTTAAAGAGGGCCTGCCAGCAGGGGTAACGTTTTCTATTTTTAACCTTTTTCTAAAAAATTGAGGTATAATTGATATATAACAGTAGTTTCAGGTATACAACATAATGATTCTATACTAACCTTTTAAAATTGTGGTAAAATATACATGGCATAAATTTACCATTTTAATCATTTTTTATGTATATTTCAGTGACATTAAGTACATTCACACTGCTGTGAAGCAATCACTATCATCAGCTCCAGAACTTTTCCATCTTGCCAAACTAAAACTCTGTAACCTTTAAACACTGATTCTCCATTCCTCCACCCCTGCCCCGCCTTAGCAACCACCATTCTGCTTTCTGTCTCTGTGCATTTCACTACTTTAGGTACCTCATACAAGTGGAATCATACAGGATTTGTTTTTATGTGTCTGGCTTATTTAATTTAGCATAATGTCTTCAAGGTTTATCCATATTGTGGTATGTGTCAAAATTCCATTCCTTTTAAGGGTGTTTTTAACCTTTTTGACAACTCAGCTTTTATTGAAGCTCTTTGAACAGAGGGATGCTTGGTAAATGGGTAAGTCTTAACCAACTTTCTGTATTTATTCATCTGGTTTTGACTTCTGCATTATCATGTAAACATATCCAAGCAGATGTCATAAACTTATGGTATCATAAACAGGTGAGTGGTAAAACAGACTGCAGGGGGCTAGGGTGAACTGTAGAGGCCTGCCTCTTACAATGGTGGCCACTGCTTATCAAGTCCAACCCGTATTTCCAATATGTAATATAGACCCAGTACTGCATGTAAAAATGTACTGATTTTCATGCATTGGTCAATACTGTTGTGCCAAAGAGAACTCATTTGCAGGAACCACGTAGGTCTTGCCACAGACCACGAGTTAACAGTCTCTGCTAGGGTTTTTTTAAAAAACCTAATGCACCGTGGACAGTGTGGCTCAGTTGGTTGGAGGGTAGTCCAGTAGACCAGAAAATTGCGGGCTGCATTCCTGGTCAGGGAGCATGCCTAGGTTGCGGTTCGTCCCTGCTCAATGTGTGCATAGGAGAGGCAACCGACCAATGTTTCTCACATTGATGTTTCTCTCTCTCTTCCCTTGTTTATAGAATCAATAAGCATGTCCTAAGAGAGGCTTTAAATTTTTTTGAGCTGTTAAATACTTCCCATCTTACGATAGACAGACATGTTTGATTTAAAAACAAACAAACAAAAAACAAAATTCAACCGAGTATATTGGAACATCTAAGTGACTGGCAAATTGGGCTGCATTCCATCTAGCAACCAGAAGGGAGCTCTCAATTGTACAAAATGCAAAGATTTTAAAGGAAGAAGGGTGAGACAAGGGAACTATTAGAAAGTTTTTGGGGATTGGGCAGGGACTTCTTTTCAGGAAAAGAAGAGGAAGGGTTTTTATTATGTAGATTGCCTCTTCTTGCTATGGTAGCAGAGACCAAGGACTAGACTGGAAGCGGGTCAAGGAGTGGAGTGGTATATGTGATACTGAATACTATAAAGATTTCCAGAGGAAGTAGCTTTTGACTTGTCTTTAAGGATGATTTCGGTAAGCAAGGTCTGGAGGGCAATCTAAGTAGAGGAAATAATTTGAGCCAGAAATCAAACACTAAGTTGGCAGGTAATGAGTCTGAAGAGGTTGCATGGTCTCCTATTCCAATTATTTAATAGTGTGTTCTTAGGTGAGGTACCAGCTCATTGACAGCTTAGGAGGCTAAGAATGGTACGGAAGCAGAGGGACATTTACAAGGTCTCCTGTGATCCAAGCGCCCAGAGCTCTCCCTGCACGCCCCCTCCAAGGCCGCCGTCTCGACCACGACCACCTTCAGGGACTACAAGTCCCGTCATGCAGCGGGGTCGTGCCGGGAGCCCCGCGGGACGCCCCGCCCCTCAACAGGCCCCGCCCCAGGCCCCGCCCCTCCTGCCGCAGCCCCCTATCGCCCGGTCAGCCCCGAGGAGTTGCCCCGTGGCCACGGCAGACGGAAGCCCAGCAAGAGTCTCGGCAGAGGCGGCGGCAGGATGGGAGACTCCAAAGTGAAAGTGGCCGTCCGGATCCGGCCCATGAACCGGAGAGGTGAGAACCGAGCCCGCGCGGGGCCGCCGCAGCGGAGGCGGCAGGTGCCTGGTGCGCCCCTTCGCGGCGGCCGCCGTGTGGGGTCCAGCCGCCCCGCCCCTGGAGTCCGCATCCGGGCTGGAGCGCGGCCCGCGCACCCCGAAACCTTGTCCCTCCACTCCCGCCCCGCCTGTGCGGGACGCCCCTCCCCTCGTCTGCACCGAGTCCCGGGGCGCTACGGGCCCCACATCCCAGTCCGCTGCCCCTTCCGCCGGCACTCCCGACCCACCCCAGAGCCCTTTCGCCCTCTCACCCTCTCGCCCTTTCTCTCTCCCCTGCCCTTCCAGGAGGGCGCCCTAGTCCTTCTCCCGCCCGGGCTCTCTTCCTCCTTCCCCCACCATTCCCCCTCGGCCCTTGCCTCGAGGAGTCCCCGCTGTCTCCTCTCCAGCTGTCAGTGCGGCCCCCGCCCCTTGGGTCCTCACCGGTCCGGCCTGGCAGGGACAGCCAGGGACCCCGAAGCCCTACGTCACCGGCCCAGCCGCCCTAACCCTGCACTTTGGTGGCCCGCGGCAGGAAAAATGGCAGGGACTTTGGTTTACTCCTCCTGAGAGCACTTAAGTGCAAAAATTCCTCCTGTTGCTTTTTCACTTTATTTCCTTTTAATGTGGACGGTCTTAGAGAGTTGTAAATAACTTTGATTGACGTTGGGTAGAAGAGATGCCTCCCTACCCCCACTTTTTTGACTGTTGAGAAAGTTTTGTTTTTGCTTCAAGTCATATTGGTCATCTCTCAACAATAAATAGTTTTAAGTGCCAAGATTCTTGTGGAACTGTATCTTTCAGACATTCTCTTCATTCTGCAGGGAGGGTAGAGAAAGCAGATAAACCAAGTACATCTTAAATCCTCTTTAGACAGATAGACTGGAGAGAACCCCAAATGGCAGTCGAAAGAGAAGGTGGGCTGTGTTTTGGCATCTTTATTTATATTCACCTTAAGTTTATTACTGTCACCGTGATTAAGAAAACTTAAACAAACAAAGCCACGTTAAACACAGTTGATCTGGGATTTGATTCTGAAAGGATGATTAACTAGTGTGGGTGAGTTACTTTAAATGAGATAATATATTTGAAAACCTTTTCGGTATAAGGTTATATTATTGGGGAGGTCACTATTATAATCCCAGGAGATAACTTTTCAAAAGATTAACTAATCGGGATCATTTGTAAGTACCAGAGTCACGCTCCATGTCGGCGATTTTCAACCCGTGTGCCTCAAGAATTTTTGAAACATGCAATACCTGACTGTTTAGTCAAGGGCACTGACCTCTCTTCCCTTAGATTGCCAGATAAAAAGTGACAACAGCCCACACAACAATAGCTGTCAGGTGTGAATGAATCAAAATTATACGTATTTTTTGTCAGATTGGCAAAAAATATATTTTTTGGTGTACTGTAGAATTTTAGTAATTGGTTTATGCATGCCATGAGATTAAAAAGGTTGAAAATTTCTGTTCTAAGTTGTTCTTGCCACTTCTTTGTTCATTATGTCAAGCGTTGTTTAAGTCCATGTAGAGATTTTGAGTTGTTTTCTTGTGTTCCTTTTCTTTGCTGCCTTTTGTATATAGTGAGGCATACAGATCAACCAGTTAAGATATACTTTGTTGGTTTGTCCTCTTGGGAGTAGGTTTATCTCTTATCTTGGAGTTATGTCTTCTATCGGAATTGGTGATTCCTTCTGTCCTTGCTAGGTCAGCCTAAGGATGTTAGGTGACCAAGAAGAATTTTTCCCTAAGAACTTAAACTAGTTTAGCCTTGGCCTCACTAGTTCCATGCTCTGACAAAATGAAAGGACTTGGAGGAACTCTGAAAGTTTTGAAAAGCTTCTGTTCTTCGGTGTTCAGGAAAATTCACCTTAAGTTTGTTTACCATTACAGTGAGTAGGACAACTTTAAAAAAATAAAAAAAACCCAAGCCACATAAAATATAATTGATCTGGGATTTGATTCTGGAAGGATGATTTTAGCATGTTCTTAAAATTTCTTTTTCATAAAAAAATCTTGGATATGTCAGTGCTAAAAAGGGGCAGTTAACCAACCACCACAGAAGACCTATCTCAGATGGAATCCTTCCTCTTCTCCCACCATGGGTTTCAGTTTTTGAGGGGAAGTTCTATCCTTTTTACTTATAAATTGTCATTAATTAGGATGCAGTAATTATCAATATCAGAGTTTGGAGAGATGCATAGAATTATAATTTTAGCTATGGAATGGATGTTAGCTTTTTTTTGGCTGAATGTTAAACTTAAGGTTTAGATATAGATCCATTACTTGGCAAATAGAAATGCATTTGTGGTAAACTGCCTCATTCATTTAGTGCTCTCTCTTACATAGCCTTATATTTCCTGAAAGCACATAGACTATTGGTCCCATTTCTAGTTTGTTGTGAAGTAGTTGTTTACATAAGTCTAGAGGTTTCTGTGGGATGAAGTGTAGTGAAATTCTAAAGCCAGTGATTTTTAAGAGAGAGGGAGAAACATTCACGTGAGAGAGAGACATCGATGGGCTGCCTCTTGTATGCAACCCATCTGGGCACAGAACCCGCAACCTGGGCATGTATGTGCCTTGACTGGGAATTGAACCAGCTACCTTTTGCTTTGCAGGATGACGCCCAACCAACTGAGCGACAGGAGTCAGGGCTAGAGTTTGTTTAAAAAGGCTAAAACAAAACCATATTCCTTTCCAGTAATTTTGAAAAGGGTCATATTGCTTTGACCAATTACTACTTTTGGGAAAATTAATGTATTAAGTAATAACATATAATAATGATAAATAGTAAACTTTTAGTCATAATTTTTTTTTCTTAATATATTAGTGCAGGAATCAACCTCAGAAATCTCTCTTCACAAGTAAGAATGAGGTGAGAATGGATTACTGGGGTGATGCAGTTTTGCTGTATAGACTTTGATATTTGGAATTACATCAGCCACTGTTTGGAATTTGCAAGAAACTTTTAGTGAACTCTTAAGTTCTTCACGTGATTCAGCATCTGACTATGTTTAGGTGTTAAGGTAGCTAGTTGGTTTATTATTTCTCATTTATGAAAGTAAGAGTGTTTCAGTCATTTTTTGCTAAATAAGAGTTGCAATGGCTAACATGCTTTTGTCTGGAATATTTTTCTTGTTGCCCATTTTAACATTACTAACAAAGCAAAAAATATAAAGGAAAAAGTCTCTGACATTCTTCCATTTTGACAGCTCATACTCTCATTTTCTTATTTCCATTCTGCTTTGTGTTCACATGCACATGTAATTTTACATAGTTTTAATTTTGCTTTTGTTCGTTTGAAATATGAACTTAAGTTAAAGAAAAAGGGGTAAACTTGTTATGAGCTCTCGAGTTCTATTTATGAATACTGTTTGTCATTTATGTTATGTTCCACAGTTGTACAACTCACCAGGTAACTCTGGTTGTGTTTTTCTATCTACTGTAAAGAACACCAATTCATACATAATTAATCAATCTAATTATTAAATGAACTGCAAGTTTTACAAGCATAATTGATGGTACTACTTAGATCAGTGGATACTCTCCTGTTTAGGAATTTGTAAAGTTCCCATTTTAGGAGCCTTAGGTGGTTTAAAAATATTAGATATTTATTGAGTGCCTGCCCTGTGTCTAGCTTGTATTAGATATTATGGGATCTTACTACGTTTCTTCAAGGGGCTTCCCGTGTTTAAATATGTATAGGATCAACTACCAAAATAAATAAATCTACATAAGAAGTATTTGGAAAATACCTTTGCTGTCTATCTGGCGTGGTGAAATCAGAAATTACACTAGAAATCTAGTTAGAGAGAAAAACAGTGAAAAGGGTTATTGCAGATGTTAGTTAGTGCAGACAATATCTGTTTATTTCGATAGGCATTTCTCAAGGGCTTACTTTGCATTTTATAGTACCCAGTGCCATGAAGGACACGAAGAATGTAATATCCAGCAGAAGTCAGTGTATAAGTAAATCACTGTCTAGTATCTCAGTGGAAAGACTATTACATAGCTATTAAAAGTGGTGAAAATTAAAACCAGGGAAGACTGTTTTATATGTTAGAAGTAAAAGCAGAATGTAATACGGTATGTGTAACTGTACTAAATTTACTATTATGATAATCTATTCAATCTACTATAATGACTATTACTTTATAAAAATGTAAACAGGAATGGGCAAGGGCTAGAAAGAAACATGAAAAAATGAGATTGATTGTTCTTTTTGGGAGAATTTTATTTCCTAAAAACTTTTAGTGTTGTCTAGTATTGTAGTTTTCAGTTTTTTTAAAGTGTGTTTGTTTTATGGTTCTTGCTCATGAGGAAATGACTGTCATGTGAAAAGATAAGATTTAAAGGTAAACACCTCTAGCAGATTGCTAGGTGATTAACTGCCAGGTGAGTGAGAGGGAAATACAAGAATTTGGAGGAGTGAAAGCCCCCTGGATGGGGCTTCCCTGGGGAGGGAGAACTTTGGACTTGGAGGAGGGAGTTTATGATTGGAATCGGTGCGAGGAGGAGACAGGGAAGGGCATTGGTTCTTGGAGGAGGAAATATGGCCTGAGAGCAAAGGCACAGAAACAGGAATGAGCGAGGCAAGTTTAGGCAGCAGAGACAAGCTTAGCCTGTCAGAGAGGAGGGCTCTCTGAGGTTGACTGAGAAAGATGAGTGGGATTAGAAAGTCAGGGCAAAATTACAGGGAGCCCTGATGCTAGCTGGGCCCAGAAGTCTGGGTTTAGTGTGGCTGGTCCATGTGCTCTAATTTAGCTTATTTTAGAGCTCTGTGTGGGTCTCGGACACAAACACCAAGGGGAAAGATTGCCAGATCTCAGGGCAGATTGCAAGCCTGGGTAGATGACTGATTCAGGACATGCTGGGCAGCGTTTAAGAGCACAGATGGAAATGAACCCATGTGAATGGCTTCAGTCAAAACTAAGTGAGCAGTCATGGATCAAAAGCAAGGCAGAACTGAAGTTGCCTTCAT